CACTGTGCCAACACACACACACACACACACACACACACACACACACACACACACACACACACACACACACACACACACACGTTTTTATGTTTTCTGGGGACCACTTTTTTGTTCATCACTTACGGGGACCACCCTTTCCAAATGACATACAGCACACATGCACACACACACACACACACACACACACACCACACACACACACACACACACACACACACACACACACACACACACACACACGCACACACGCTGGATAATGTATGTATAAAAGCAAGAGAACAAATCTCTGGCATCACTCCTGTACAAAATCATGAAATTTATTCCGTCAAAGTTAAATGCTTTCTGTGGAATTTAAGCTTCCTTTATTTAATGTGTATCTCCATTTGGCTTAGAAGCTCTCTTTTCTTAACATGGAACTTCAAAGGAGAATGTAACCTAATTCAATTCAGAAAGTCTTGTTCAAGCAGGGTGACTGATATAGTATGTGTAATATGTGTTTGTGTCATAGGTATGTGACTGGTGCAAGCATATACGCCACACTAAAGAGTATCTCGACTTTGGGGCTGGTGAACGACGGCTGCAGTTCTGCAGTGCCAAATGCCTGAACCAATATAAGATGGACATTTTTTATAAGGAAACACAAGCAGCACTGCCTGGAGCTCTCTGTAACCCCGGACATGGGGTTGGAGGCGAGGGTAAGGCAGAGTGCATTGGTGGTGTACAGCTGCTCACCCCTGAATCCTGGGGAACACCAATACCGGACATTCGCCGTAAAGCTCCCTCACCTGGAGGCCCCCCCAACTCTTCAGCTCCTTGTACTTCATCTGTCACATCGTCCTCAGATGTTCTTTGTTCTCCATCCTCCTCTTCGTCCTCTGCCAAGATCCCCACACCTCGACCCCATGAGAGCCCGACACTCCCACCCCCTCCCATACCCACTTTGCATCCAGCGGTTGGGGTTCCTCCAGGGAGTCCTCCAATGGTGATGACTCCCCGTGGGCCAATGCCTTTGCCTCTCTTTATGGAACATCAAATGATGCAGCAGATCCGTCCGTCATTTCTTCGTCCATCTGTCCATCCAGGCGGACCCAACAGTCCCCTGTCAAACCCTGTCATCCCTGGTATAGGTCCCCCACCTCCTCCCAGGACTCTTGGTCCTGCTTCTAGCCCCATGCACAGACCTATGATCTCCCCTCATGTCCATCCTTCATCCAATCCCAATGCTGGCATCATCCCTCCCCACCCTGGTCTCCACATGCCGGGATTTCCCCCTTTCCCCTCAGTCAACATAATGCCCAATGGACCCATTCCTTTGCCACCAATGATGAATTATGGCATGCCATCCTTAGCCCCATTAGTACCACCACCAACCCTTTTAGTCCCTTATCCTGTCATTGTACCCCTTCCAGTCCCAATTCCCATTCCAATTCCAATCCCTTTCAACCCAAAATATTCCAGCACCCAACCAGAAAATGGTGACCCTCTCTCTAGTGCACCTTTGTCTTCAGATGTTTCAGCATCTGGGCTATCAAAGTCTCCAGGATCATCAGGAGGTGAGAAAGGGAAGCAAAGAGAAGATCCTGATGGTGTAGAGTGTCTTTCTCCTGGATGCTCAGATCGAAACAGGTCGTCAGTGATGAACATGACTGTGAAGGAAGAGGATAATATGAGAAACTTATGCTCAACTGTTGACACTGGACAGCTGGAAGGAGTTATTGATCTAACTATAAGCCAGACACCATGCCAACAGAACGTCATTCAGAGGATTCTGCCTAAGGTTCATGTCAAAGTAGAGGCAGAGGTTGAGTCAAGATCTTCATTGGATGTTGGGCTTGAACAGGAAGTCAATGGCTGTCACGATCTTCTGGAAAGGGCCGCATTACAGCAACCCCCCAGTAATACTGAGCTGCTTGCAGCCAACGCATTTGAAACACTGGAAACATCAAATTCACCATCCAGCAAAAATAGCTCTTTTTTTATCGCTACTAGTGAAACCGACATTACCCTATCACCTGCTCCCAGCACGCCAAGCACCCAACCCCAACCTCTCCCACATATTCAAACTAACCCTGCTGTCTCATGTAATGTCATTGTCAATGGTACAGCGTGGCATTCACTTCATACTCCTAATTTAAAATTGGACAGATCAGGAGATGGCTTGACATCAGAGGAAAAAGTAGGGGAGCACCCAGCAAATGGTGAGTTGGAACAGGAAGCCCTAAAAGAGAACAATTGTTCCGTGAGAGAATGGGAATCTGGTAAGCGCGGCTCAGTGCAAGACCAGATGGTAGAGGCCAGAGAGAGTAAGCCAGACCCTGACTCCAACTCGGAGGAGGGTGAACATGCTTACACCCTGCCACTGCTATCAACTGGGGGTTGTGTGGTTATCCAGCCTGTGCCAAAGCCTGGCACTGAGAAGACAGCCATCCTTTCCTGTTCCATCAGTGCACCACTATCAGCTGCTGGAAGCCCTGAGCTGGAGCCCCCAATGAAGAGGAGGTGTCTGCGAATCCGCAATCAAAACAAATAAGGTTGGTCAACCATAGTGTCTTCCTACTACTTTTCTTAGGCACTTGTTTTTGTGTGGATTTATACAGATTTATATGGTATTTGCTTATTCACAGTTATGTATCAAAACTCATTTTCATTCACAAAATAAAATAAAAACAAATGCTTTGAAAAAAAAAAACCTAAAACTACTTTTTATGTTTACAAAAGTAACGAACATCAACTACAATTATAGCCAAAATATTCTTTGTTGATGTCTTTGGCGATTAATACACAAGCCTTTATCATTGCTTTTAATTGTATTTATTTTGATCTTACTGCGGCTGTTTGCCGGAAGAAGAGAATGTCAAAACAGTCGTCTGGGAGTTGTAGTTCTCTTAGTCCCCTTTCGAAGTTGACATCTTGGCACAAGGCATCCTATGGAGGGGGGGGGGGGGATTGGGGGGCTTCATGTGAATGTGTTGACTGTAATGACTTGGAATAGGAGCGCTTTATTCATTTGCCCACTAATTGTTTCTCCTCCTACTGTGTTCCACAGATGGATACTCCAAGGACCGTCGTGCCATCCATGCCACAACCCCCACTGCATACACACTCACAAAGGTGTCCTTGTCATCATCCAGTCTACCAGCATCGCAACTCGCCTTTGACTCCTTCAAGTCAATAAAATCTGCATGTCATCGAAAAGATGACAGCACTCTCTTGGTCCATGTAACTGATGCTATCATGGAAAGTCTTGAGGAAGCTGTCAATGGGACCACCTGACAGCAAATCTCAATGCACAACGGGCCCAAGAACACTAACTTATCAATAGTCCCTGTTGATTCAGGTGTTCTCTCCATTGTCTATTATCTGTAGAGTGCACCATGGTGTGTGTGTGTGTGAAGCTGTTTGGGATGTTTGTGAAGGGGGTCATTATTTTATACAGCACTGCACTGTGGTCCAGTTGGAGACACACAAGACATATGAAATCATGGCTGCGGTGTGTTACTGTAGCTTCACCCATTTCCAAAAACAGAATTGTTGCCCTCTCTCTTAGGCCTTATTATGACAACCAGAAAAGTGCACTTGGCAACACAACACTATGCTTTCTGATTTTGATGCGAGTAGCCGCAAACATCAACAACATCGTGATTGCATGCTGACTAATGAGTCTACCTGAATATTAACTCAGCAAATACTACATCATGATGTTGTGCAACCTCTGCTTTTATCGGTTGCCTTTCATTTCTTTTGTTTGAAACATCACAGAATTCAGTGAATTACTACAGACCCCTGCTGTTTGAGAGCTGTGAAAGCATGACAGCCTGTAATGGGGAAATGACACCGCAAGCTCTTTTTTTTAAGAATACATTAGCAGTGCCGTTACTGTCATGGGGCATTTTGAGACTTTTGCTCTGAATTGAGACAGGCCTGAGAGAAGCCAGCTATCATGAATAATTCTCCTCGCACTTGCTGAGTGAAACAAAACGCAACAAAAATATCATGAACAAGAATAATCACACACAAGACAATTTAAATATTTGCCTCATGTTGCCTTTTATCTCCCCCCTGCCCCAAGCGTTTATTTGTTAATGTATGTTTCTTATTAAATTCAAGAACCAGCACCATCCAGGGTCATGCATTGAGTTTAGACTTAGACTGCAAGGGAACATTGCGCCTGGGGGATGAAATAATGCATTATCATATGCCATTGGCACCTTGCTAAATTAAAAAATAAATAGACTGACAAATCTGAATTGCCAAAATAGCAAGCACTTATCATAAAATTAACTGCCCGCTATATGTGACATTACTAATAAGCTTACATTTTACTTTTTGTCATGTTGAAGCTTTTGTATGCCCAAATGAGCCCAGCATTTGTGGGTCTTGCTTATTCCTGGAATTGCAATATGCACTAGTATGCATCCTCATACAGTAAATGCCGTAAACTTCATTTTGTGTGTGGGAGGTGAGGGGGTGGTGGGTGGAAGCAGCAGTGGAGATTGCAGGCTGCAATCATCTGTTGCCTGTTAGTCATGCGTTTAGCTTCACATAGCTGCTTGCCAAGACCTTGTTTTGGTGTCACTTGAAGCATTTCCTTTCACTTCTCTCCAATCAGTGTCAACGCCAGTGAAAAAGTGTTCTGAAGCTGCCCTTATCAGCTTGTTTCGACCGTGTGCTTTTCCAGTCTTCTACGAAACACCACTGTGTTCATTAGAATTTGTAACTTGATCAGAGGAGAGATGAAACATTTGATCTTGGCCATTTCCATAACTGCTGCTTGAAAATGATTTCAACATACCGTCCATTATGATTTGTTTTGTATCAAACTTGGTCAATCCAATGGTTTTGAGGGCCACCTACAGCAAGGGACTCTTAGGGTTTCAAACCATTTTTGTACACTAGTTTCAGAAGCAAAAACAATGTATACAGTACTGCGTATGCTAAAAGTGAAAGGCCGCGAGACATTCCAAGAGCAAGAGGACAGACAAATAGTGAAGGTGTTCCACATGGCATTTTAGATTGATCCATGTTAGTCCTGTCACCATTAGGGTAGAATGATGAATGATACAATATTTACTTTAATCACAGAATGGACCTCTCCAATAAAGGCACCCTGAGGATAATATTACCCCTCTACATGAGATACAAAAACATAAGGCAAAAAAAATAAAAATAAAATCGAAAAAACAGCCAGCGGTCTGGATTAATAACGTGAACCCTCCAAGGTTGACACACAGTCCTTTCGACACCACTGATTTATACGTGCAATATTCAAAATCAACTTTTACAAATTATTACCAGGGTCAAACTGTTGCTATCATAACACTTTTATGAACTATCCGGGCACTGTTCAAACTAATATTTTACATTACATGCACTACATTTCACTTTTTTACACTCTCGGTTACATACACACACAACAAGGTCGCGGGGAGTTCAGGCGGAAGGCAGATTACACTCTCAACTGGTTGCCAGCCAATCACAGGGCACACACTGACGAACAACCATTCGGGCTCACACTCACACCTAGAGACAATTTCAAGTGTTCCATTGACCTCCCACGCATGTTTTTGGAATGTGGGAGGAAACCTGAGTACCCGGAGAAAACCTACGCAGGCACGAGGAGAACATGCAAACTCCACACTGGAAGGCCGGAGCCGGAATCGAACCCTGTACCTCTGCACTATGAGGTTGATGTGCAAACCAGTGGACTGGATCAATGATATGTGAATATATACATATATAAATGATAATTGTTCACTTGCAGTATGTTGACATGTTGTGCTGAGATGTCAGGACAGAGGTACCATATGTGTACAGTGCTTTTGTTGCCACGCAAACACTACTTGACAGTTAGTTTATAATGTATTTCCGGTTTCATGGTCGTCATCACATTTACTGTTTGCGTTTAAACTTTTTGTGAAGGCATGGAGAAAAGCCAAAGAAAAGCCAAAATCACATGTGAATTTTCTGCTCAGTGAGCTATAGTTGCACAAGATTTGTTGAGGTGTTGCCCGAGTGCATGATGGCTGTTCAACCTCTGGAAATTTGTGCTACTTTAGAGATATATTTTCCCCCGAATTTGGTTGAATTTCAGAACTATACACCTTAAGGTGTGTTCAACCTTGGAGGTTTCATTAACTGTATTATCGATTCGTTTTGCTGAGCATACATTACACTCTCGCGGGAATATGACTGTGTCCAAACGGTGAACAATCTTTTTACTCAAAAGGAAATTTGGAGGTTTCCAATCAATATGCTAAGAAGTCGCAGCTCAACTTATTTTCAACAGGGAAGTGAGAGAGGTAAATATTTCAAATGTGGACTTACACATCCAAAAATGTACTCCTAAAAAAACAAAAGGATTGTTGACATTCCAGTTCATCTTTACCCCATCATGTGTCATGTAATTTTACGTTCGTGTGGGTTAAATCACAACCTGTTGTCAAATTATCTACTGTTCCTCCTTTTTAATTTATAAACACACAAGCACGCATGCTTTGTCTCTTTTCTCTCTCTCTCTCTCTCTCTCTCTCTCTCTCTCTCTCTCTCCCTCTCTCTCTCTCTCTCCCTTTCTCCCCCAAGAACACAATTTATAGTTAGCCTGGTGTTAATTTGCACAATGTTGTGGTGCCATTGTAAAAGCTACGATGCTGACAATATTGAGGTGTCATTATTACATCGAAATGCCGCTTCACTGAATCATTGTTGTTTGTGATGACAAACAAAAAAAAAATATCAAGGAGTTTAGAGGCTAAACTGCAGGCTGGGTCCATCGCTATGAATTATGCAATGACAACCAACCCTAAAAGAGACAAGAAATCAAAAACGTAAACTGTTTCATCAAAAACAACAGAGAAGTTGCCTTATCTCTTGCTTGAATAATCGCTACAGTTAAGACAATGATACTCACACTCTGCAGAGGATTCTCACTATTTCTTTGTACTAAAGGAAATTGACCAGAAACAACAACTTTGTTCTCTTGTGTCATTGTACAGATGATCATGTTTTTTTCTGTAACCTGTATGAATTTTCCTACGTTTGCTCTCGACCCAAACATCCTTGTTACAAATCATCTGGATTACCTTGTGGTGACAAGTCAACCTTTATGTGTACATTTTCGATTATTATTTATTGTTGACCTGGTTTGCATTTACAAATAACAAAAAAAAAAAAAATGAAGATTTGATCTCAACATTCTGTTTCAATGTGAATGTTTGGAGAGCAATGAAAATCTTTTGTAATTATTAAAATGGTGGATACAACAGTATGAGATCTTTTTATGATGTGGCCAAAGTTACTTTGAAAGTAACTTTTTTGTGTTGTAACATGAGTATTTGTTAATGAATTGCTTATTAAAAATAAATAAGAGGCACACACATCTGTTTCAGATTGATCATGTGTATACACAATCTACCGGCACAGTTAGGGACATTAGAACATGACCATGTGAGCAAATAATATTGCCCTCGTTTCCAACTTCGATATACTGTATTATTTTTTTGCAAGATGCAACAGAACAGTGCAGAATACCAGAAGTTAACCCTTTGAGTGCCAAAATAGTCAAATTGCACCAAGTGGTATGCCTTTATCGCTAACCATGACCTTTTGACATAGTGATATCAAAACTGAATATTTTATTGAAGAAAAAAAAATCCTCGCAACAAAGGGTTTAGATACATTCCGGACATTTGAACGTTTTGTCCTTGGGACCCAGAACTGAATAGATAATCAGACATCAATAAAACCAAAATATAAACATTCGTTCAGAAATTAATAAATTCAAAGCAGTATCAACATTTTTTTAAAGTGAATATAAACGTTTACTTGTGAAGAGTGTAGGAGTGTGCGGGGAGGGGCGGGTAGACTGGTTGGTCCTTGATTCAAGGTCATGGTGCCGCATCGAAAAAACGGTTTAGCTGTGTTGTAGCGCCGTCCTCTGGTTTCTGAAAGTACAAATGATATTGCTGGGCTAAATTGAAAAAGGAAACCAGATGTTCAAACAGACTTCATTCATGTCAAACTCTGCGTATGTGTAAATGATACAAGCCATGGTCGTTAAAAAATAAAATAAAATAAAATAAATAAATAAATAAATAAATAAAAATAACGTAATGTGTCATTATGAAGTGCATCCGCAAAAGTTATGATAAGCCTAAAAAATATATATATATAAATAAATAAATAAAAATAACGTAATGTGTCATTAAGAAGTGCATCCGCAAAAGGTATGATAAGCCTAAAAAAATATATCTGTTCAATGTTTTGGTCTTTATTACACAACATTCTATTGTCTAACTATGGAAAAACTCACGAAAGGTGTCTGATCTATCTGCCAAGAAATTTCGCCGTTCATGTGGAAGTGATATTTAAAATACTCCACATAGTCACATCCTGACACCTTGACCTAAGACGTGTACTTACTTCGCAATTGTGAGTCACAGTGTCACTAGCAGTTTGCAACATATTGTAGGTACGTGGAGCCTAGTCACAAAAGGCATAGAATTTGACGTACAGTATTTGGAAATTTGGGGAAGAAATCCCCGTTGTGAAACATACGCGAGACGTCATGCACGCTGTGATCGTGACGTCTCTGAACCAATGGTGAAAGACTGATCCTCTCCTTTTTCATCTACAACCGCTTCGAACAACAAAAAGGCGTATGTAGGAACAGTTCTTACGATTTTATTGTCGATGTTTCATGTTTGGTGTTGTGTTGTATAATTGCTATTTCGTGCTAAATGATCTGGAAAGCTCTTTGTTGTAAAAGCGCTACATAAATAAAGATGTAGCAAATTTCCCCAATGTGGGACAAATAAAGGTTATCTTATCTTATTCAACTACAGCTCCCTAAAC